ACAACGCAAGGCATTGATCCTCAAGGGAAAGAAAACCCATACAGCAAGTTCCCATATGAGACCATTTCCCTCTGCAGCATAGGAAAGTGAAGCTCCAATGTAGTGCTGAACCCAGGAGGCGAGCAAGTGTTTTTAAATGTCTGTATATACTAATTGGGTCAGAGTGACTTGAAGGACTTAAAGGGTTTTTGCTCCTTGCCCTCCAAAGTCAACTAAGTTCCAAGGGACTATGGAGCATCTCTCAAAATGTCCTGTAACTGTGGTGAATCACCTGTCCTCTTGTCCACGGAGGCTATGGAGACCCCGCCAGATGGACTTGAGCCAGTATCCAGTCTACAAACAGGAGGGCAAAGACAGAAGAAACATTTCCTCCATGTTTACAAGTGAAGCCCGCTACAGTTAAGCAGGACCTTTGACTTATCTTCACATAGATGGAACTGGTAAAAGAAAGGAGCCAAGGGCTTCTCTCAAGCCCATGTAACCCCTTAGGAACAGATCCTCAAACAACATTAAGAGTAAAAATGATCTCAAACACCCAAAAGGAACATCTAACCAAAGAGTAAAGTGATCATTATATTTTTTTAAGAGTTCAAGGGCTGCTCGCTTTGGCAGCACATATACTAAAATTGGAACGATACAGAGAAGATTAGCATGGCCCCTGCACACGGATGACACACAAATTTGTGGAGCATTCCATATTTTTATGAAGACTGGAAGATAAAGTGGATGAATTAGAGCACTCAAGCAAAGATTATGAAAATTTTAAGAAAACGAGTGGAATATGCAAGAATTGTGTGACACCATAAAAAGACCAAACTTACAAAGGACAGGCATGCAGGAAGGTGAAGAATCTCATGATAATGGTATGGAACAGATCTTCAGCAGGATTGTAGAAGAAAATTTCCCAAAATTAAAGAAAGACATACCCATACAAATACAGGAAACATATAGAACACCAAATACACAGAACCAGAAAAGAAACTCTCCACGGCACATCATAGTATAAACACTAAACATACAGAACAAAGAGACAATACTGAAAGCTGCAAAAGAAAAGCAACAAGTCACATATAAAGGAAAACCCATCAGGATTACAGCTGACTTTTCAGTGCAAACTATGAAAGCCAGAAGAGCCTACACCAAAGTATTCCCAGTTTTAAATTACCACAGATGCCAACCCAGATTACTTTACCCAGCCAAAATATCTATTATAGTCAAAGGGGAAAGAAAAATCTTCCATGACATAAATAGGCTGAAAGAATTCATGTCCACAAAACCAGCCCCTCAGAGAGTTCTTCAAGCAATTAAAAAGGCTGAAGAAAGGAACAACTATATCCAAGGGGTTATAGAAAGAAATTCAATGAAGGCATAACTGCAGAAATGCACAACTATATCAAGAATGTGAACAGAAATAAAAATGACAGGATTCAATACACATCTTTCATTAATAACTATAAATATTAACAGACTTAACTCCCCAGTCAAAAGACACAGACTAATTGATGGATTAAAAAACAAAACCCATCTTTTTGTTGTCTGCAAGAAACTCATCTCAGTTTCAAGGACAGGCACTACATTAAGGTGAAAGGTTGTAAAAAATATATATATATACCAAGTAAATGGTACTAAGAAAAAAGCAGGAATTGCAATTCTAATATCTGATAGAGTTTAAACTGAAACTAATCAGAAGAGATAAAGAGGGCTACTACATTCTGATAAAAGGAATAATACACCAAGAAGATATTACAATCATGAACATATATTCACCAAACTCTGGTGCACTCAACTTCATAAAAACAGTACTATAGGACTTTAAGACCCAGATTAATCCCAACTCATTAATAGTAGGGAACTTCAATACCTGACTGTTTCCATTAGATAGGTCAACAGGACAGAGAATTAACAGAGACATCTGAATTAAATAAACAATACCATATATCAAATGGGCCTAACAGACATCTACCGAATATTCCATCCAAGCACCAAAGAATATACTTTCTATTCAGTACCCCATGGAATGATCAACCATATACTAGGGAACAAAACAAACCTCAACAAATACAAAGAGACTGAAATAATTCCATGAATTCTATCAGACTACAATGCAATAAAGCTTACAATCAACACCAGAAGAAACTCTAGTAACTACATGAATACAAGGAGATTAAACAACACACTCCTGTGATGAATGGGTCAAAGGAGAAATTAAAGAAGAAAAATTATTCATGGAACTAAATGAAAAGGACAGTACAACACAACAAAACCTCTGGGACACGTTGAAAACAGTCCTTAGAGGGAAGTTTATAGTTCTAGGTGCCTACATTAAAAAATGAGAAAGACAGGCTGGAGAGATGGCTCAGCGGTTAAGAGCACTGACTGCTCTTCCAGAGGACCCAGGTTCAATTCCACATGGCAGCTATAAACCATCCTTAACTCCAGTTCCAGGAAAATCTGAAGCCGTCTTCTGATCTCCACGGCATTGCACAACACGGGTGCACTCATACATTCAGGAAATGCACTCAAATGATCTGTGCTTCAGCTCCTGTCTCCAGGTTCCTACCTCGGGTTCCCTGATGAACTGTAACCTGGGAGATGTAAGCTGAATAAATCCTTTCCTCTCCCCCCCCACAAAAAAAATAATAAATAAAATATATTTTAAAAATCAGTAAGAACACAAATAAACACAACACGGGTGCACTCATACATTCAGGAAATGCACTCAAATGATCTGTGCTTCAGCTCCTGTCTCCAGGTTCCTACCTCGGGTTCCCTGATGAACTGTAACCTGGGAGATGTAAGCTGAATAAATCCTTTCCTCTCCCCCCCCACAAAAAAAATAATAAATAAAATATATTTTAAAAATCAGTAAGAACACAAATAAATGGCTTAGCATTGTAACTCAAGACACTTGAAAAGCAACAACAAACGAAACCTAAACCCAGCAGACAAGACGAAATAACAAAAATCAGGGCAGAAATTAATGAAATTGAAAGAAAGAAAATAATACAAAGAATCAACAATTCCAAGAGCTGGTTCTTTGAAAAGATAAACAAGATTGACAGACCGCTAGCC